TGAGGGGAGGCGTGGCTGAGAGAGCTCTGAGAGAACAACTCCGAGAGAACTTGTGACTGACCCAAGGTCGCCCAGCTGGCTTCACGTGGAGGAGTGGGGAATCGCACTTGGCTCTCCAGATCAGAGCCCATTGCTCTTAAACACGACACCAAACCGGCTCTTTTCTGAGGCGCCTGAGAAGCCAACGTTTAATGAGATAACAAGTATCCTCCTTTGTATTCAGCAGCTGGGGAGGCCCTAAAACCACCCTGCTGCGGGACGTGGTGGCGATTGCAAGACTAGACAGCTTCAAGTGGTGATTGGATCAACATCTGGAGCAGAGGTCCATGAGTGGCTATTAGCCACAAGGTATAGAGGGAACACTCTGTCTGGGGCAGTGATGCTCTGTATTTTCGGTGCTTGGGGGGCCACAATGGGAGAGCTCCCGGAGTCCTGGCCCCACAGGTGGACCTCCTGATGGCCCCTGGGTTTTGGCCACTGTGTGACACAGTGTTGGACTGGGTGGGCCACTGGCCTGAATCAGGGGTCATTTTGTAGAAAAAGAGGTGCAGGAGCTCATTAGCATAACGCATTAGCATAACTTATTTGTATATGCCACACCCCCTGACATCACCGGAAGTGTGTCAGAAGGCAACACCCACCGCTTAGGCTCCACTGGACTGTTTTGGATTGCTAGCTATTGTGGGGGGGGGGATGTGCAGATCTGTCCTCACAGAGAAAGGAGAGCTTTTACCTGAATAAAACTTGGTCTTAAAGGTGCCACTGGACTGTTTTGGATTGCTAGCTGTGGGGGGGGGGGAACGTGCAGATCTGTCCTCACAGAGGAGGGAGAGCTTGTACCTAAAGGTGGGGGGGCCTCTGCAACTTACCTGGCTGCTTCTTGCTCCTCGTGGCCCACCTGAGGGATGCTGGGAGCAGGGGACGGGGCTTGTTGCATGTGCCCGCCCCCTGGGCTCCTTACTGCCGGAGCTCCGCTCCTGTGCGCTCCCGCAGGAAATGACCCCTGGGCCTGATCCAGCATGGCTGCTCTTATGTTCTTATGACTGCTGGCAATGACCGTTAGCTGAGATAACCCTTGTGTGCTTTGAGAAATTTACAGAGAATTAGTTTTATCAACAGCTAACAGCCATGCTAGTTAAATGGAACTTCCATGTATGGAGGCAGTATATCCCTGAATATTAAGTGCAGGGTATTAAAATAAACACCTGTGGGGACAGCAGTTTGGAGCTGGCTGTGTTCTTACACTGGGTAAGGCAGAAGTTCAGGGGAGATAGACGTCCATGGTCTTGGGAGACCTGAGTTATCCTCTTTGGGTTCTTCTCTCACTGGGGTGGGAGAAAGAGAGATTTGGGGACAACTTCTCTAGATCTTTCTCTGTATAGACACTGGAGCATTCTCCCTTGTGACGTAGTGGACTCTTCCTCAGAGTTTTTAAGTATCGACTGGATACCTACTCGTCGGGGATGTTATGGTCGTAATGCCTCCATTGGCAGGGGGTTGGACTAGTTGACCGCAGTGGTCCCTTCCAACTCCGAGATTAAATAAAGAATTGCAAATAATGGTCTAGAACAGTGATGGCGAACCTTTTAGAGACCGAGTGCCCAAACTGCGACCCAAAACCCACTTATTGATCGCAAAGTGCCAACACAGCAATTTAACCTGAATACTGAGGTTCTACTTTAGAAAAAACAACTCATCCATTAACTTAAGATGATCCAAACAAAGTAAGGGAAGCAATCCCAAATGCTTTCATTTACTTAAAATTATTTGGCAGAGAATTCGACCCTTTAATGATGGTCTGGGCCTGGCTGGGGCGATGGCATGCGTGCCCACAGAGAGGGCTCTGAGTGTCACCTCTGGCACCCATGCCATAGGTTCGCCACCACTGGTCTAGAACTTACCGAGACGCCGTGATCTGAAACTCAGTCTGCTCGTGTTTCCCCTTTCTCTCCACCCGTCCTCTTCCAAGGGCTGTGCTCCTCAAACCAGGCCGCTCTGCGTCCATCCGTTCCACAAACACCAGCACTTTTCCCTGGCCCCAAGAGCTGTCCTCCTCCTTCAAAAGGCTCTCTGACCCTCTTGCATCAGCAAATGCTCCTTCTGTCAGAGGAAAGTGCTTCTGTTCGTGGAGCAGATCCGCAGGAATCCAACCCACTCGCTGGGAAAGGGGGCTCCAAGGTATCTTCGACACGGAGCCCTTTCCGGGTGAACGGAGGCTCCGGTGATGGTTAATGCTTTAGAAAGAAGCAGAGCAGACTGTGGAGTGTGCATAAATATATGATAAAGCGCCGGGACACTCAATAATTCATGGCTTTTTGGCGGGCGAGAGAGCAGGAGAGGAGTGTGCTTGAGGGGGTGGGAGTGGGCAAGGACAGGGGAAGGGAGGCGCCGGCCCAAGAGCCGAGTTCGACGTGCTGCAGCACGGAACACAAAAGACTGGCCCGGAGTGTTCAGTTTCGGGGATGTAAGAGGTGGAAGGGAGGGGTTGCAACTTCAAATTAGGATTTTTAAAAGTTCGGCGCAAGGGAAAAATAAGACCGGCAGAGAGAAGAATTCCGCCAAGCCTTCCCCTCTTTTTTGTAGCGACAAAGAGTATATGGGTTTTTTTTCAACCCGAGGAGGAGATTGGATTTATACCCCACCCTTCACTACCCAAAGGAGTCTCAGAGCGCCTTACAGTCTCCTTTCCCTTCCCCTCCTTCAAATTAGGATTTTTAAAAGTTCGGCACAAGGGAAAAATAAGACCGGCAAAGAGAAGAATTCCGCCAAGCCTTCCCCTGTTTTTTTATAGTGACAACGAGTATATGAGGGTTTTTTCCCACCAGAGGAGGAGATTGGATTTATACCCCACCCTTCACTACCCAAAGGAGTCTCAGAGCGCCTTACAGTCTCCTTTCCCTTCCCCTCCCCAAAAACAGACACCCTGTGAGGTAGGCGGGGCTGAGAGAGCTCTTTCGAGGACTGCCCTTGAGAGGACAGCTCTGAGAGAACTTGTGACTGACCCAAAGTCACCCCAGCAGCTGCATGTGGAGGAGTGGGGAATCAAACCCAGTTCTCTCAGATTAGAGTCTGCGCTCCTAATCACTACACCACACCGGCTCTCAAGCTCAAAGTCCCACCTGCAGAATGAGAAAGTATGCACTGGCTAACACGTCACCTTTGAGCATCATTGTGGGCCGAGGAACTATCAAGACCCATCACCCAGTTGTCATCAGCACCTGGGGATATGCATTTCAGAAGGGCAAAAAGGCCCTTCCCTGTCCTTTGTTCTCACTGTCCGGGATTCAAAGATAGACTGCCTCTGGACATGGAGGTTCAGTCCAATAATCCTAGCTAACAGAGCAAGGATTCTACTGCATTTATAACCTGGGCCTGACTGAGGCACTGTAGTTCCTGATGCCTAAATTTCCTCAGGGAACTGCGCAAGAGCTTGTGTGGTCAACAAAGTGAACGCTAGAAGAAGAAGAAGAGATTGGATTTATACCCTGCCCTTCACTACCCAAAGGTGTCTCAGAGCGGCTTACAAACTCCTTTCCCTTCCACTCCCCACAACAGACACCCTGTGAGGGAGGTGGGGCTGAGAGAGCTCTTTTCAGAACTGTCCTTGAGAGAACAGCTCCGACAGAACTATGGCTTGCCCAAGGTCATCCAGCAGCTGCAAGTGGAGGCGTGGGGAATTCAAACCTGGTTCTCCCAGATTAGAGTCCAGGCACTTAACCACGACACCAAACTGGCCTTAGCCCACAAACATGCCAGGTATGACCTGTTGTTGATCAGGGTGTCACAAAACTCTGGAAGGAGATGGGTTTTTTTGGGGGGGGCTAGGGGGCTGCAAGCAGCAGAGAAGCTCCAAGACCCAGTTGTTTCGGGGGGGCTTTCCTGACCCACCGCCCCACAATAGCCTTTACCTTTTTGTAGAAAAAGCCCAGCAGGAACCCATTAGCATAATAGGCCACACCCAACAGCAGAAACAAATTAGCATATTAGGCCACACCCCTGACAGCGCAGCTCATTAGCACATTAGGCCACACCCCCATGTCACCAGAAGTGTGGTCATCCAGCCACATCCACCTTTTGCTTCTTATTCTGTTTACCTTGTTTGTTGTCAAAACCCAGGGCCTTTTTTGTAGCAGGAACTCCTTTGCATGTTAGGCCACACACCCCTAATGTAGCCAATCCTAATGGGTTTCTGCTGTTGGGTGTGGCCTATTATGCTAATGAGTTCCTGCCGGGCGTGGCCAACTTGGAAGCCAGCCGGAACTCCGTTCCTGTGCGTTCCTGCCCAAAAATAGCCCTGGCTTTACAAACATCTCCCCCATATCATGGGGGGGGAGTTGAAAGCCGGTAGTGCACAAGGCAGTGGAGAGATGGAGAACGCGTCGGTGTTTTATTGAGTGTAGAGGCAAGCACGTGACCTTTGCATCTCAAACCGGGATGTGAGAGTTGAATGGGTAGGGGGTTTCTGTATAAAAGGAAAGAAACAGCGAGCGGATGGCGCCGGGTTCTAAAGCAGAAGGGCAGGTCTGGTGGTGTCCTCAGGGGACGGGTGGCCCCTCACACATGCGCGCAGTGTGTGTATGTGTGGGGGATGACAGTCCCAAACACCAAAGGTCCCGATTCTGTTACACGTCCAGCTTCGTAGTTGGCCCCGTCTGTCTCTTTAGGGTGGGGAGGACAGGGGTGGTGTCTCCCCGAACTGGACGGCTGTTGAAAGCAAAGCTGCCCGGAACCGACCTTTCGTCCTTGAGGCCAGGGGAAGGCAGTGCCTGGTCAGGTTCGGTCCCTCCCCACCTCTGCTCTTTGCCCTCCTCGAAACGTCGCAACCGAATCCACAGCCATGTTCTGCTTTGGTTCGTGGAGTTCCCGTGTGAAAGCCGAATCAGCTTTGGGAAGCCCGCGGCTTCTCCGCCTTGTCTTCATGATCTCCCCCTCCGCCGTCCCCGCTCCGGCCACCGGAAGGAGCGGGGCACACATTTCTGTCCCGTGGGGCTGGAGGGGGGGTCCCCTATGTTGGCGCTTTGTTGGAGAGGTAAGCGATGAGGGCCACCACCGCCCCGACGTAGGTGCAGATGCCGAGGATGATGGACAAGACGGCCAATGCGAAGGTCTGGCGGGAAGCCGTCCAGGCTTTGGGGTAGTCTCCTTTCGCCGATGCCTTGTTGGTCTGTAAGAAGGAAGCAAATCAGTTCTCTGGGGGGAAGAAAGAGGTTTGGGGGCTAAGGCCCGCCTGGCGTGCATGCCCCCGTCCCCTGCAAGTCCCAGCTTAAATTCCAGCAAAGTAGGTAGCGGCTGTGATTCCGGGAACGCACTCTGTGCATGCTCTGGGTTTCTGTTTTGTATCCTTTCATGCACTCTGAGGTTGGATCCTGGCTGTAGAGTCTGGGACTTTTCAGTCTAGAAGAGACAGCTAAGGGGGGGACGGACGTGATAGAAGTTTATAAAATTACGCGTGGGGTGGAGGGAGTGAACAAAGAGACATTCTTCTCCCTCTCCCAGAAGACGAGAACTCACGGGCATCCAATAAAGCTGATGGGCAGTAGGTTCAGGACGGACAAAAAGAAATACTTCTTTACACGTAGAGAAATTAAAGTGCGGCATTTGCTGCCAGAGGACGTAGTGATGGCCACAGGAATAGACAGCTTTAGAAGGGGTTTGGATAGATCAATGGGGGATAAATCTGTCAATGGCTACCAGCCATGGTCGTTGAGGGGAACCTCCACATTCAGAGGCACTTATCCTCTGAATCCCAGAGCCAGGAGGCAACATTGGAGGAAGGCCTTGACCTCTATGCCCTGTTGTTGGCCTTCCAGAGGAACTGGCTGGCCACTGTGTGAGAATGGAGGCTGGCCTAGATGGACCACTGGTCTGATCCAGCAGGGTTCTTCTGATGTTCTTATTGCGAAATAACTCCTGGGCTGAGCCCCACCTTTTGTACTAAACTCTGGGGAAAGGGAAGGACGAGAACCACGTTGGGGACCGCCAAGCTAAACTAACAAAAGCCTAGAATATATGACATCTATACAGGGCTATTTTTGGGCAGGAACGCACAGGAACGGAGTTCCGGCTGGCTCCCGAGTTGGCCACGCCCAGCAGGAACTCATTAGCATAATAGGCCACACCCAATAGCAGGAACTCATTAGGATTGGCTACATTAGGGGTGTGTGGCCTAACCTGCAAAGGAGTTCCTGTTACAAAAAAAACCCTGGGTTTTGACAACAAACAAGGTAAACAGCATAAGAAGGGAAAGGTGGGTGTGGCTGGATGACCACACTTCTGGTAACATGAGGGTGTGGCCTAATGGGCTTATGAGCGGTGCTGTCAGGGGTGTGGCCTAATATGCTAATGAGTTTCTGCTATTGGGTGTGGCCTATTATGCTAATGAGTTCCTGCTGGGCCAGACCCCCAAAGCCACCCACCCAGTTTCCTGTTCCCTTTGGGTGGTGCTTACCTTTTGGGACAGGTAGAAGGCGGCGATGCCTAGTGGCCAGAAGCAGCACAGCATGGAAAAGACAGCCAGGCCAAGGTAGTCCTGCGGCAGCAACGTGGAGAAACTGCTCTCACTCTCCGTATCACTGTCGCTCGAGGAGTCGTTCTAGTGTCAGAAGTGGAGAGCGAGTGGTTAATTTTTGGGCTCCCACCCCCTCCGTGGATGAATTCCCCACCTCCATCCTGGGACAATCATCTCCTGCTTTGGGCCTCTGCTCACACTTGAACTCGGGACTACATGATTACTCTGAGCCGATGGTTAATCTTGTATACCCCACACTTCCCTACCCGAAGGAGTCTCAGAGCAGCTTACAATCTCCTTTCCCTTCCCCTCCCCACAACAGACACCCTGTGAGGTAGGTGGGGCTGAGAGAGCTCTCTCAAGGACTGCCCTTGAGAGAACAGCTCTGAGAGAACTTGTGACTGACCCAAGGTCACACCAGCAGGTGCAAGTGGAGGAGTGGGGAATCCAATCTGGTTCTCTCAGATCAGAGTCCGCGCTCCTAACCACGACACCAAACTGGCTCTCTTAAAGCCAAGTTCCCACCGCATCCCGTCACATGCTAGTGCGACTGAGAAACAGCATCCCAAAGAGTGATTAACGCATGGGTTGTAATGTGTGTATACAGTGTCTCTCCCTAACCACCCAGTGCAAGAAGGGACAAAATGACCCTTGTGTATTGCCAATATACGAGCGCCACATTGTTTTGGCCTCTAATAATGATGGGTAATTTGCTAATAATAACAACGATGATAAATGCGTTCAAGAGTTCAGGAGGGAGACCTCCCTTTTGAAGAGGAAGCTACGCTTCTGCCTCCTCCGCTCGCTCTTTCTCTCGGAAGGATACAGGAGTCGCGGCGTTTAAAGGGCCGGATCCCACGGATCGGTTCCCTTGGCGGCGCTTTCCTTTGCTGAGGGACCCTTCGCGGTTAAGACTAGAGGCTCTTTGAATCGCTTGCGTCGGAGGAAACTTTACAGCGGAGGAATACACGGTTAGTGGAAAGGGATCCGTGGAATGTATCCCTAAGAGTGTAACCCAGGGGGTCCCCGACCTTTTTGAGCCTGCAGGCACATTTGGGATTCTGACACGGTGCGGTTGGCCCGGCAACAAAATGGCTGCCACAAAATGGCTGCCGCGGGAGGTGGAGCCAGCCTCAAAATGATCGCCACAGGTTAACTATGGTAACACAGTGTGTAGAGCCTTGTGCCGCGGTGGCAATGGATGCCAAAGTAACGTTTAAAAAATACCTGCACAGCCAATCAAATCTCCCATGGTCAATCAGACGCCTTGCTGGGCAAAAGGCTTTCCTCGTTCTCCACTCCATTTTAACTAGAGAGCCAGTTTGGTGTAGTAGTTAAGAGCACGGACACTAATCTGCGAGAACCGGGTTTGATTCCCCACCCCTCCTCCACATGCAGCTGCTGGTGTGACCTTGGGTCAGTTTAGAGATGTGAAGGCCCGGGGAAAAAACGGAAAAATTCGGGGGGAAACCGGTTTCCCCCCGTTTTTTTTCCTGAAGCCTTTTTTTTTGTTTTTTCTCAAAAAATTGGAAAAATTGAAAAAAGAAAAGAAAATTTAAAAAATTGATTATGGAACGTTTTATTTTAACATGATGAATACAATATTTTAAGACAAGGTGTTCAAATATTTTCCAAATCATTTCTAAAATATATATATATGGTATCAGATTGATCTAATTTCTGTGCACTGAGGACAAGCAAGTCCTAGGTTACAAACTGAACTCTCCAATACAAGAACAAGATGCATTTCTTCCTTTAGGAGGTGCTATTGTCAGAAGAAAATAAGAAGGTTTCAGTTTTGTTTTTGCATGTGGGTGGGTATTCTGTTTATAATAACTGTTTGGATACACTATATTTTTAATATGCTAGTTGTGATAATTTCATGCCAAGTAAAAATGTCCATAGTCATATTTTATGTTCCTAAAGTAACAGAATGACTTTCAATCTAGAAAAGACAAAAGAAATGCTAATGTAGCATTTTTTCAATTTTTCCAAAAATTTCCGTTTTCCCCCGGAAAAAAACTGCTTAATTTCATGTTCGTTGCATCGATGACACTGTCTAAATTGTTTGGATACACTATATTTTTAATATGCTAGTTGTGATAATTTCATGCCAAGTAAAAATGTCCATAGTCATATTTTATTTTCCTAAAGTAACAGAATGACTTTCAATCTAGAAAAGACAAAAGAAATGCTAATGTAGCATTTGTTTTCAATTTTTCCGAAAATTTCCAGTTTTTTCTGAAAAAAACTGGCTTCAAAATTTTTGGAAATTTTACATCTCTAGGTCAGTTACAAGGTCTCATAGAGCTGTTCTCTCAGGAGCAGTCCTTGAAAGAGCTCTCTCAGCCCTACCTACCTCATACAGTGTCTGTTGTGGGGAGGGGAAGGAGATTGTCAGCCGCTCCGAGACTCCTTCGGGTAGTGAAGGGCGGGGTATAAATCCCATCTCTTCTTCTTCTTTATCCTCACAACAACCCTTTATAGTAGGCTAGGCTGAGAGAGTGTGTGACTGGCCCAAGGTCAGAGGTCATTTTGGGGGGGATCGCGGGGGAACGCAGTTCCCCCGGGTGAGGTGCAGGGGGGGCACATAACGAAGCCCCGCCCCCAGCTTCCGGCCGCCCCGCTTCCGGCCCTCATTCAGCCAGGAGGAGGCAGGAGAAGAGGGAGGGTAAGTTGCTTCCTCCCTGCCTCTCCCCACCCCTGCCTGCCTGGGGCCAGGGAGGGCCTTCGCGGGGCTTCCTTGCACTCCCGCCGGCCTTGCAGGTCCACCGCCGGGCCCCTGATGTCAGGGGGTGTGGCATATGCTAATGAGTTATGCTAATGAGTTCCCCTAGCTCTTTTTCTATGACATGACCCCTGCCCAAGGTCACCCAGTGAGTGTCCATAGCACAGGTGTGGATTTGAACTCGGGACTCTCAGATCCTCGTCTGACGCTTTAACCACTACGCTATGCTCGCTACCCCACATGAGCCCCTGGTCTCTTTTACCTCCACTAGGGAATATTTTGACCTGACCTGGATAGCTCAGGCTCGCCTGATCTTGTCAGATCTTGGAAACCAAGCAGAGTCAACCCTGGCTAGTATTTGGAAGTGAAAGCAGGGTCATGACGCGGAGTCAGGCAATGAGAAACCACAAGAGGAGATTGGATTTATACCCCGCCCTTTACCAACCTAAGGAGTCTCAGAGTGGCTTACAGTCTCCCTTCCCCCCCCCCTTCATTTCCCCTCCCCTCCCCACAACAGATACCCTGTGAGGTTGGTGGGGCTGAGAGAGCTCTCTCGAGGACTGCCCTTGAGAGAACAGCTCTGAGAGAACTTGTGACTGACCCAAGGTCACACCAGCAGCTGCAGGTGGAGGAGGAGTGGGGAATCAAACCCGGCTCTCCCAGATTAGGGTCCACGCTCCTAACCGCTACACCAAACTGGCACGACACCAAAAAGGAATATTTAAGGAGGGGATGTATATTTCCCCCTCCCCAGTATAAGCAGAAAGCAGTTTGAGGGCGGCATTCTTCAACAGAGAAGGGGCCTGAGGAGGGAGGTTTCAATAGGCCCTCTCTGTACCTCCCCCTTCAAATAATCACACACACACCCCGATTAAAAAGAAATCAGTGTGGAAAATAATGTAGTTCTGTCCTTGGCCCATTTCTCACAGACCTTCATGAGGACCGAATGGATTTTGTGACTGAGTTAGGGCTCATATGGAATCCAGCAGATAACATGTCCCCCCCCATCCCCGTCCATCTACTTTGCTCTGCTTTAGATTAGGGGAAGATGTACTTCTCTCAGTTCAAAGACAACCTGTCGTTTCCTTAATGGGCTGCTCTCGGGGATCTTTGAGGAACTGCAGCCAGTGAAGCCTGCCGTCGGTAGAATTTTGGAGCTCTGGGGTGTTATTAAGTTCCAGAAGATCAGAGACGTCGTCTTTGATTCACAAATGAATTATTCCCCCGACACATACACTGCCCCCCCTGGTAACTTTCCAGTGATTAAGGATCCTCCTAAATAACTTATGGAATTGACTGAAACAAGGTGTTGTGGCGGCCACTCAGATAGCTTTAAAAAGGGATTAAGTAGAAGAAGAAGAGGAGATTGAATTTATACCCCGTCCTTCAATACCTGAAGGAGTCTCAGAGCGGCTTACAATCCCTTCCCCTTTCCCTCCCCACAACAGGAAGGAGTCTCAGAGTGGTTTACAGTCCCCTTTCCCCTACCCGCAACAGACACCCTGTGAGGGAGGTGGGGCTGAGAGAGCTCTCTCGAGGACTGCCCTTGAGAGAACAGCTCTGAAAGAGCTTGTGACTGACCCAAGGTCACACCAGCAGCTGCAGGTGGAGGAGTGGGGAATCAAACCCGGTTCTCCCAGATTACAGTCTGTGCTCCTAACCACTACACCAAACTGGCTCTCATGCGGAGAGCGCAAGTCCAACAATGGCTGTTAGACACGGTAGTTCAATGGAACCGACCCTGCTTAGCTTCCGAAATCTGATGAGATTGGGCTAACCTGGGCCGTCTAGGTGAAGGCAAGAGACAAATAGGGGGTTTGCCATTGCCTGCCTCTGCACAGGGACCCTGGACTGATACAACTTTTCATAGTAAAGGCAAAGGTTCCCTTGCTCGAAAGCCAGTCGAGTCCGACTCTAGGGTTGTGGTGCTCATCTCCGTTTCAAAGCCGAAGAGCCAGCGCTGTCCGAAGACGTTTCCGTGGTCATGTGGCCGGCATGGCTAAACACCAAGGCACATGGAATGCTGTTACCTTCCCACCGAATGTCTTTTCCTACGAAATGACCCCTGCTCTTTTCTAATACAACTACACTGTGTGTCTGTGTTCCCCCAATCCCATTTATGAAGGTCACGTTTGCTGTCCAGGGTATCTTTCCCTGCAAATTTCTTGCATCCCTGCCTCTACCCCGGCCCATCTTACCTCGAGCTCCAGACCTTCCACGTCGCCCACTTCGTAGCAGACCGTGTGAATGTCCTTCTCGAGGGCCACCTTCCGGGGTAGCTCTCCGGCCTCCTTGCTGTCCCCGAAGGCCGTTTCGATGTAATCTTTCTTCTTCCAGCCCTGGAAGTTTGCCTTCCACCGCTCGGGGTACAGCGCTGGGTCGGAAGGACGGTACGGCTCCACTGTCCTTTGCAGGCTGCCGGGATCTAAGAGCTGGTTGGCGAGAACGGAGCCCGGCGGGTGGAACCAAGGGAAGTCGGGCAGCGCCTGGCGGGAAAACAATCTGGAATGTTCCTGGTGACCAGCTCGGCTGAGCATCTCATTCTGCAGGGGCACCTTCCCGGGGTTTTTGGCCAAGAGCGGGTGCTGTAGTTCGTGGACGTTCTCCATAACGTCCCCCGAAGGACGATGCTCGGTGCCTCCTTCTGAGTCGATCGTGCCAGTCTTTTCAGCTCAGTTGCCCTGAGGAAGAATGATAAGAGCGCTAAGGGGAAAAAAAGGATTTCGGGCCTACTGCAGGGGTCCCCAACATGGTGCCCGCCGACATTTTTCCTCACACCCTCAAGTGCTTTTAGAAAGTATCCAAGGCCAGATGGAGGTTTGATTGGTTGTGTAGATTTTTGGAAACATCGCTTTGGCGGCAGCTGCCACCACAGCACAGCGATTTTCGCTGCATGGCTGGATGTGAGCCGTGGCGGCCATTTTGGGATGTCTCCGCCTCACGTGGCAGCCATTTTGTGGCCCTCTACCTTGTTTCAGAATTTCGAAGGCGCTGCCCACAGGCTCAAAGAGGTTGGGGCCCCCGGCCTACCGCATAGCTTACAAAAGGATCTTAACCAAGCATTCTATTTAGAGTTGCCAATCTCCAGATAGTGGCTTGAGATCTCCGGCTATTACAAATCATCTCCATATGACAGAGATCAATTCCCCTGGAGAAACTGGAAAGGAAGACTCTATGGTATTATACCACACCGAAGTCCCTCCCCTCCCCCCAAACCCCACCCTCCTCAGACTCCACCCCTAAAATCTCCAGGTATTTCCCAACCTAGAGCCGGCAACCTGAATTGTATTTTAAGCCTCGTATACTTATGTCATGCAACCAATGTAACAAATGCATTTCTACAAAAAGAGCCCTGAAAAGGCAATAACGGGCAGACTCAGGCCTCCATTTTCCACATTTGAATGATTATTGCAAGAAACAGGGTTGCGGGGCTTAACTCTTTCATCTGACAGGAATGCAAGTTCCTGACGGGATTAATGGGGTTCCTGTAAACATTATTTAAAACATCAAGCAAGGTCTCATCTGCACGAATGGATTTCTGGGCTGGATTGCAGAATCTTCATATTGACCGGCGGCTTCCTTTATTCAAAATGCAAAACCGTGGCATGAAACCAAACACCCATCTGGAAATAAATTTGGTGGACCCCGAAGCCCCCAGGGGCGGCCTTCAGCCAGTCGCTCTCTTTCGGGTGACCCTACCTCACAGGATTGTTGTGAGGATAGAATGGGGGAAAGGAGACTCCTGTATGCTGCCTTGAGTTCCATGGAGGAAGCTCAGCCCTGTCTCAACCTGGTTCCAGCCACGGGCTTGGGTGGTTGTTTGGGTTCAGTGTGTCCCTCCCCCCCCCTCCATCATGGCCACCTCCACTTCCAGTTGTGGCGACACGAGAGGGAAAGGGTTGTGCCTTTCTCGATCACAGGGGGTGCCTGGAGGAAGAGCCCTGAACCTCGTCCTTGCAGGAGGGTGTTCCTCTGGTTCGGGGCCACTCCTAAAAAGGCCCTGTCTTGCATGACTGTCTTGCGTGGGGCACAATACTGCGTGGTCTTAGACAAAGATAATATACATACTACTCTGTGGAGACAGATCAAGAAAGATAACTGTGTTAGTCTGTAGCAGTAGGAAAGAGCAAGATTCCAGTAGCACCTTCAAGACTAACAAAATCTGTGGCAGGATCGGAGCCTTCGGGAGTCACTGCTCACTTCTTCAGACGCAGCTAGAATGGGAGTCCATCTATCCTTGCATCCTGGAGAGTGGAGTGATTGTAGATGGCAAACGATAATCTCTCCAAGATAGAAGGACGGATGGACTCCCATTCTAGCTGTATCTAACGAAGTGAGCAGTGACTCCCGAAAGCTCCTACCCTGCCACAAATTTGGTTAATCTTTAAGGTGCTCCTGGACTCCTGCTCTTTTCTCCTGCTGCAGACAGACTAACATGACCCCCCCATCTTGATCTGTTTGAAGAAGTGAGCAGTGACTCCCAAAAGCTCATCCCCTACCACAAATTTTGTTAGTCTTGAAGGTGCTCCTGGACTCTTGCTCTTTTCCAGGGGTCATTTCCTGCAGGAGCACACAGGAGCGGAGCTCCGGCAGTAAAGAGCCCCAGGGGGCGGGCACATGCAACAAGCCCCGCCCCCTGCTCCCAGCAGCCCTCAGTCAGAGCAAGAAGCAGCCAGGTAAGTTGCAGAGCTCCCCCTCCCCCCCCCCGGTCCAAAACAGTCCAGGGGCACCTTTAAGACCAAGTTTTATTCAGGTACAAGCTCTCCCTCCTCTGCGAGGACAGATCTGCGCGTTCCCCTCCCCCCGATAGCTAGCAATCCAAAACAGTCCAGTGGCACCTTTAAGACCAAGTTTTATTCAGGCACAAGCTCTCCCTCCTCTGCGAGGACAGATCTGCACGCCCCCCCCCCCCGATAGCTAGCAATCCAAAACAGTCCAGTGGAGCCTGAGCGGTGGGTGTTGCCTTCTGACACACTTCCGGTGATGTCAGGGGGTGTGGCCTATGCAAAAAATTATGCAAATGAGTTATGCTAATGAGCTCCTGCACCTCTTTTCCTACGAAATGACCCCTGCTCTTTTCTAATACAACTACACTGTGTGTCTGTGTTCCCCCAATCCCATTTATGAAGGTCACGTTTGCTGTCCAGGGTATCTTTCCCTGCAAATTTCTTGCATCCCTGCCTCTACCCCGGCCCATCTTACCTCGAGCTCCAGACCTTCCACGTCGCCCACTTCGTAGCAGACCGTGTGAATGTCCTTCTCGAGGGCCACCTTCCGGGGTAGCTCTCCGGCCTCCTTGCTGTCCCCGAAGGCCGTTTCGATGTAATCTTTCTTCTTCCAGCCCTGGAAGTTTGCCTTCCACCGCTCGGGGTACAGCGCTGGGTCGGAAGGACGGTACGGCTCCACTGTCCTTTGCAGGCTGCCGGGATCTAAGAGCTGGTTGGCGAGAACGGAGCCCGGCGGGTGGAACCAAGGGAAGTCGGGCAGCGCCTGGCGGGAAAACAATCTGGAATGTTCCTGGTGACCAGCTCGGCTGAGCATCTCATTCTGCAGGGGCACCTTCCCGGGGTTTTTGGCCAAGAGCGGGTGCTGTAGTTCGTGGACGTTCTCCATAACGTCCCCCGAAGGACGATGCTCGGTGCCTCCTTCTGAGTCGATCGTGCCAGTCTTTTCAGCTCAGTTGCCCTGAGGAAGAATGATAAGAGCGCTAAGGGGAAAAAAAGGATTTCGGGCCTACTGCAGGGGTCCCCAACATGGTGCCCGCCGACATTTTTCCTCACACCCTCAAGTGCTTTTAGAAAGTATCCAAGGCCAGATGGAGGTTTGATTGGTTGTGTAGATTTTTGGAAACATCGCTTTGGCGGCAGCTGCCACCACAGCACAGCGATTTTCGCTGCATGGCTGGATGTGAGCCGTGGCGGCCATTTTGGGATGTCTCCGCCTCACGTGGCAGCCATTTTGTGGCCCTCTACCTTGTTTCAGAATTTCGAAGGCGCTGCCCACAGGCTCAAAGAGGTTGGGGCCCCCGGCCTACCGCATAGCTTACAAAAGGATCTTAACCAAGCATTCTATTTAGAGTTGCCAATCTCCAGATAGTGGCTTGAGATCTCCGGCTATTACAAATCATCTCCATATGACAGAGATCAATTCCCCTGGAGAAACTGGAAAGGAAGACTCTATGGTATTATACCACACCGAAGTCCCTCCCCTCCCCCCAAACCCCACCCTCCTCAGACTCCACCCCTAAAACCTCCAGGTATTTCCCAACCTAGAGCCGGCAACCTGAATTGTATTTTAAGCCTCGTATACTTATGTCATGCAACCAATGTAACAAATGCAAGCAAGGCAATATGTTCTCAAAGGCTTTCACGGCCGGGAGTTCATTATCTGTTGTAGATTTTCCGGGTTGTATGGCCGTGGTCTTGGCATTGTAGGACCTGACGTTAGAATCCACATGCAAAAGAACCTCCTCAGGAAACAGGAAACCTCCTCAGGAAACAATCCATATACAAAAGAACCTCCTCAGGAAACAGGAAACCTCCTCAGGAAACAATCCATATACAAAAGAACCTCCTCAGGAAAGCTCCTCCATTAGCATGTTCACAGCCTGGGGAACTCCTACGAGATAATGGCTCAGCCCTACCCCACCTTCCGGAGCAGATATAACTTACCTGCCTACCATTTTTCTTCTCACCTTGACACAGAGAGTACTCCGTCTTTCTGTGTTATACCTCTGAGGATGCCAGTCACAGCTAACGTCAGGTCCTACAATGCCAAGACCACGGCCATACAACCCGGGAAATCTACAATAGCTAACAAGCAAGGCAATGTTTGTTGATGATTTTGATGCTGTTCTCTGATCTTGAAATCCTGATAAACTTTGACTTGACTTGACAAAAGGAATCCACCTTCCTGCAGATGGTCCCAGAATTAGGAGCAGCCAATCTTTACCTTTGCAAAGAAACTCAGCAAAGTGTATTTTAACAACTCACCCATTATTCAAACTTCTTTCCCTTCCCTCCCCCCCCCACAATATGGGGATGACAATATCAGCCTGCCTCACAGGGCTGTTGTGAAGATTGTAAGAAGGTGGTGCAGAAGAAGCGCTTTGAAAGGGATACGCAGACACAAAAGGGATGTTGCAGAAAACTAAACTTAAAACTATTAGGAGCTCGAAGCATCTTTTCCTGTGAGGAAAAGCTAAAGCAGTTGGATACGGTTGCCAACTCCGGTTTGGGGGATTCCTGGGAATCTGGGGGTGGGGTATGGGAAGAGTGGGGTTTTGGGAGGGGAAGGTCCTCAGCAGGGGTCATTTTGTAGAAAAAGAGGTGCAGGAGCTCATTAGCATAACTTATTAGCATAACTTATTTGCATATGCCACACCCCCTGACATCACCGGAAGTGTGTCAGAAGGCAATACACACCGCTCAGGCTCCGCTGGACTGTTTTGGATTGCTAGCTATTGGTGGTGGGGGGAACGTGCAGATCTGTCCTCACAGAGGAGGGAGAGCTTGTACCTGAATAAAACTTGGTCTTAAAGGTACCACTGGGCTGTTTTGGATCGGAGGGCCGGGAGGGTGCTGGCTGCTTCTTGCTAAGACTGAGGACT